CAACTGAGACTGTAGTCAAGAGCCTACAGGGTGCAAACCACGCGCTCTGCCCTCAAAAACCCTAAACCCTAAACCCTAAACCCTAAACCCCACACGTTTGCAGTGCCTTCTGCTGCGGTTCCCGGTCGATTGCCCCGGGGAGGCAGGGCTGAAGTCTAGGGTTTGCAGTCTAGGGTTTAGGGTTTAGGGTTTAGAAGACATTTAAAGAGAAAGCAAAAGCTCCATGAGAGCTCTCGCTCGCTGCTGCTGCAGTGCTTCTCTGCCCGTCGGCGGCGGCGGCCGCCGCCGCCGCTTCCGCCGCCGCAGCAGCAGCAGCAGCAGCAGCAGCAGCAGCAGCAGCAGCAGCAGCAGCAGCCGACTGCTGCATGTGGTGATAGAGCAGCAAATACATGAGGGCTTGTACATCTCTCCGATGAATCCTCTCGAGTTTAGTTAGTGTCGGAAAACGCATGGCTTTCTGCGCTGCAGCAGCAGCACAGCAGCAGCAGCAACAGCAGCAGCAGCAGCAGCAGCAGTGCCAGCAGCGGGCGCAGCTGTCCCCACTCTCAACGGCAGCATGGAATAAACTCTCCGTTGGCGCCTGCTTTCTTTTAGTTGCTACTGCAGCAGCAGCAGCAACAACAACAACAACAGCAGCAGCCGCAGCAACGGCAGCAGCAGCAGCAGCAGCAGCAGCAGCAAAGGGAAACGACTCGGCCCCGCCCGAAGGACGCCGCGCTGCTGCAGCAGCAGCTGCAGCTGCAAGATGGAGAGAAGTGTGTGGCCTGATGAGCAGCACCTGCAACAGCAGCTGCAGCAGCAGCTGCAGCAGCAGCTGCAGCTGCAGCAGCAGCAGCAGCCGACCCACGACCCTGAAGCAGCAGCAGACACGCCCGCGCTCCGCATTCGAGTCTCTGAGCAGCTGCTTGTGCTGCTGCTGCAGTTAGAGAGACAGCGTAAGGTTTCCTTCTGTGCTGCTGCTGCTGTGCTGCTGCTGCTGCTGCTGCCGCTCTGCTGCTGCTGCTGCTACTGCTGCTGCTGCTGCTGTGCGTGGCCTTGCAGCGAAGCTCTTTGCTTCCTCTTATCTCCCAAGCGAGCAGCACCTGTTGGCGCAGCAGCAGGATGAGCTGCTGCAGCCGCTGCAGCAGCAGGTGCTGCTGCTGCTGATGCAGTGCAGCTCGCAGCGAGCAGCAGCGGCAGCAGCAGTAGCAGGCCATGCAGCAGACCAGTCAGCAGCAGCAGCAGCAACAGCAGCAGCAGGGAATACCTTGACGGCCCTTCTCTTGAAGGCCCACCAGTGTCTCGCTCAGCTGCTGACGAAGCAGCAGCAGCAGCTGCTGCTGCAGTCGCAGCAGCAGCAGCAGCAGCAAACGGACGAGCCACACATTTCCTTCACCGTCACTGCTGACCCTGCAGCAGCAGCAGCAGCAAAAGACAGCAGCAGCAGCAGCAAGCTGCTGACAAACGAGTTTGAAACGACGTCGCTTTGCTGCTTGCTGCAGCGCATCCGCCCCCCAGGAGCTAGCAGCGGTAGGCAAACCCTAAACCCTAAACCCTAAACCCTAAACCCTAAACCCCGTACCCGAAGGCGAGGGTTTGCGGGAGACGGTTGAAGCACCCGAAGCAGAAGCAGCAAAAGTAGGGGCTTTGCGTGAAGGGTTTGGAGCTTAGGGTTTAGGGTTTAGGGTATAGGGCTTGCGGTAGAGTTTAGGGTTTAGGGTTTAGGGTTTGCGGTAGGGTTTAGGGTTTAGGGTTTGTGGGGGCCTCAGAAACACTGCTGGAGACGCTGCAAGGCACTGGGTCTTCTGCGTTGCGAGAGCCAGCAGCAGCAGCAGCAGCTGCTGCTGCTGCTGCTGCTGCTTCTCGGGAGCAGCTGCTGCCTTTCGACGTCGTGCTGCTTATAGAGCCGCGCTGCTGGCAGCAGCAGCAGCAGCAGCAGCAAGGGTCTGTTGCCCCGGGCGGCCATTCCTTCTCGCTGCCTCCAGGCCTCATCCGCGTGGTCCCTGCAGCAGCAGCAGCAGCAGCAGCAGCAGCAGCAGCAGAGACTCCCCTGTCGGCCCGTTCCCCGCGGGGAAAGAAGAAAAGCAAGGCCGCCGCAGACCCCCAGCAGCAGCAGCAGCAGCAGCAGCAGCAGCAGCAGCAGCAGCAGCAGCGGGCGTGCCTGGAGCTGCGGCTGGACGTGGACGTGCTGCGCTTTTGCTGCGAGTCGAGGGGCCGCTTCGATGCTTACCTTCTCGCGCTGCTGGCTTCTCTCATTCTTGACGGGGCGGAGTTGCTGCAGCAGCAGCAGCAGCAGCAGCAGCAGCAGCAGCAGCAGCAGCAGCAGCAGCAGGCGCTGCGGCGGTGCCTGCAGGAAGTGCCGAACGTCTTCCAAGTGCCTTCGTTCATGCTCGGCAGCAGACTGGTGACTAAACCCTAAACCCTAGAGACGCGGGAGGCTGTGGCTGCTGCAGCAGCCTAGCCCTAAACCCTAAACCCTAAACCCTAAACCCTAATTCCTAAGCCCTAGAGGGAAAAGGGATAAAACCCTCAAGTGGCGACGGCTGCGTTGATTGAGCAGCCTATCCCGTCGCTGTGCGGGCTCGGGTTGGAGCTCAAGGGTCTAGGGCTTAGGGTTTAGGGTTTAGGGTTTAGGGTTTAGGGTTTAGGGTTTGCGGGCAGATGGCGAGGCGGCGGGGCCAACACGGGCTGAGGGTTTGGAACGCCTGCGGGCTGTCTCCTTTTTTCTGTCAAAATAAACTTCGGTGGTTTACGGCGCTGCTCACCTCTGCAACAAGAGAAGCTGTCAAGGTAAACCCTAAACCCTAAACCCTAAACCCTAAACCCTAGGGTCTTCGTCGCGCCGTTCCTTGGAGGAGCATGGCGCTGTAAATTTGAGGGTTTGGCGTTGAGGGTTTGGGGTTTAGGGTTTAGGGTTTGCACGCCGTTCAGTGGCGCTGAGCACTTGAGTGCCTCTGGGGTTTAGGGTTTAGGGTTTAGGGTTTAGGGTTTAGGGTTTAGGGTTTGGCGAGCAGGATACGCTGATGGACTTGGCTGGGGACGTGTGGCACAGCGCCTTCTTGCCAGAGGCTTCTCCCGACAGCAGCAGCCACAGCTGCAGCTGCGGGAACTCGTGCTGCTGCAGCAGCAGCAGCAGCAGCAGCAGCAGCAGCAGCGCGAGGCTGGAGCAGCTGCTGGTGGCGCTGCTCGGCAGCAGCGAAGAGACAGTTAGAATGGAGGCAGTCAAGCTTTTAAACGCTTTCTACGACAGGTGAGCCGGGGTTTAGGGTTTAGGGTTTAGGGTTTAGGGTTTAGGGTTTTGAGTGTAGGGTTTAGGGTTTAGGGAGGCATGCTCAGGATAAGCAAGTGGAGCAACAGAAGTGGGGGAGAAGGCGCCCAGTACGCCGGCCTTTGTTTCTGAACCGCTGAATAGGGTTTAGGGTTTAGGGTTTAGGGTTTAGGGTTTAGGGTTTAGGGTTTAGGGTTTGCTTGCAGGCACGACTGGCAGCTGCGGCGTCCGCTGGACCCCGTAGTGCGTGCGGTGGGGGAGCGCTTCGTGATAGAAGTGCTGATCGAGGTCGACAGCAGCAGCAGCAGCAGCAGCAGCAGCAGCAGCAGCAGCAGCAGCAGCAGCAGCAGCAGCAGCAGCGGGCCTGAAGACATCTTTTTGGTGCTGGTGGCCCCCTCTTTCAACCGCGCATGCAAAACGGGGGTTTACTCTTACCACGCGCTGCAGTGGGAAAGGCCCATAGAGAGCAAAGAGCAGCAGCAGCAGCTGCAGCAGCAGCTGAAGAACCACAAGGAGGAGCAGCAGCTGCTGCGCAAGGCCGCCAGCTTCCGCTCTCTCGACAAAACCCCCGTGTTTGCTGCTGGCGTTGCTGCTGCGCCTCCCGCTGCTGCTGCTGCTGCGCAAGACGCAGCAGCAGCAGCAGCAGCAGCGCCCCACAGCCCCTACTCAGACGCCGCCCTCTCCCCCGCAGCCTCCCTTACTCACCAGCAGCAGCAGCAGCAGCAGCAGCAGCAGCAGCAGCAGCAGCAGCAGCAGCCGAAGAAGAGCAGCACCTTGTGGCTCGGCCGCGTCGACTTTGGGGTTTTCACGCGCTGCGGCTTTTACGACTGGAGGATCTGCAGGGCCAACGAGAAGGAGGGAACTTGGTAACACAAACCCTAAACCCTAAACCCTAAACCCTAAACCCTTGTTTCGGGCTGATTGCTGTTCCCGTGGGGGCGCCTGCGGTTGGCGCACAGGCTAAAACACCTCGCAGCCAGGGCTACGGTGTAGGGTTTTGGGTTTAGGGTTTAGGGTTTAGGGTTTAGGGTTTGGTGGGGTGCAGGTCCGTAGTCGAGAGTGCCGGCAGGAGACAAGCAGCAGCAGCAGCAGCTGCTGCTGCTGCTGCTGCCAGCACTGCTGGCAAGAGAGGCCGCACTGCAGCAGCAGCAACACAAGCGCTGAGGCAGCGGCAGCAGCAGCAGCGGCTGCAGCCGGGAGCTGGTGTGGACGAGTGCTACCCTCTCCAAGTAAACCCTAAACCCTAAACCCTAAACCCTCGCGAGCCTCTGCTGGAACTCAGCGGGGTTTTCGGTGTGGAGCTGCCAGTTTAGGATTTAGGGTTTAAGGCTTAGGGTTTAGGGTTTGTCCTCTGAAGTTGTCATCATACATCTACAGTTCGGGTTTGGAGCTCTAGGGTTTAGGGTTTAGGGTTTAGGGTTTAGGGTTTAGGGTTTAGGGTTTGTTTGAACAGGGACGCGTCATTGTTCTGCCGGAGGGCTACAGAGAACTTCAGCCGCACGAGATTTTCGTTGACCAGCACGAGGCGCAGTGGCACGAAGAAACCGGTGAAACCCTAAACCCTAAACCCTAAACCCCAAACCCTAAACCCTAAACCCCAAGCGCCACCGCAGGGGAGAGCCGCAGTGCCCGTAGAGGATTCCGCGGGAGAGGATAACTGGCAGCGAGGTGTTTGACTGCTGCTGGAGGGCTTGTGGGTTAGGGTTTGTGTTTAATTCCTAGGGTTTAGGGTCTAGGGTTTAGGGTTTAGGGT